TAAACATTGATCAAGATTTAGATCTTAAAATTCTACAACACTTAATTAACAATCTCAAATATTATACACTCACTGACATGACATCTTTAAACTTAATAACCACCAAGCATAAAACACTTCTTTTATTCAACTATTTTTTTTTAAAGCATGTTGACTCAAAATATGCAAAGATTTCTTCACTTCATTAACAGCACTAAATTCTTTCGCAATTAACAAATAAGTGTTCCTTCAGTTAGTACTTAGTAGGTTTTAAAACTAGTCTACTCCAATTGCTTATAAACACGCAGGTATTAAAACTCTCAGAATAAATCACATTTAACTCAAACAACCATGATCTACACAAAATATACAGCATTCATAAGAAATATATCATAGCAAAGTTTATCATTAAATGTAAAAAGTTGAATGGGCACTAAATATTTTGTCTCAAAAAGTACAATTATATCTACCCAAGTTACTTTATAATGTTGTAAGTGTAATTTATGCTTAAAATTCATACAATAAATAATAAAGACTTAGTAGCAGCATCCATACAACTCCCACTATTAATAATGATTTACAAAGTTTATCACATACTTAAAAATATGCCTAAATTAATTCTTTTTCAATTAGATTTAACTTTAGGAATAACAATAATGAAGCAAAAAAAATTCAATCAAAGCATTTTCAAAATTTCTAATCTCATCATCAAATTTCTGAGCATTATTCCCTCATTAATTTCAATATCCTTTTACTTCATATTGATAAGTAAATTTGTACTAATATATTTGTTTGTAGAGTGATTATTTCATGACATTTAAAATATGCTTTAATATATTTTAGAGCCAAATACAGTAACAAGCGAATACTCCTTTATTTCCTAATTAGTGGTAATGCTATTTCTTTTTTATGAAATAGGTATAGCATACTTCGTTTGAATATTTTGAAGAAAATATACATTTTTATTACATGCAGCAACCCTTTTAGATGTATGAAATTTAACAACAACAATAACAATAACATCAAGCCTTTACTTACTACATGGGGTTGGCTATATGAATCATTTTTTCACAATTGTGTTCTGTTAAGACTTAAGAGTCAAATTCTCATATAAATTACATAAAAAAAAATGTTATTTCTAATATTTTATAGTCTTTTAGGTCTACCTCTATCTCTCTTAACATAGATCAAATCTAATATATCTGCTCTCCTAACCGAGTCTTTAGAAGGCCGACGTTTTATGTGACCAAACCATATAAGGCGGCTCTCTCTAATCTTATTTGCCACTAGAACTAGTCCAACTTTTTCATGTATATGCTCATTTAGCATTCTATCTCTAAGAGTAAAGCCACTCATCCACCTGAGCATCCTCATCTATGCAACACTTAATTGTATGCTTCACTTTTAACGGCCAGCATTCTGCACCATAAAGCATTGCAAGTCTCATCACTATCTTATAGAATTTTTCCTTAAGTTTGAGTGATACTTTTCTATCACACAGCTAGCAAAATCCGATGTCACTTAAGAAGAATGCTCAACTGAGGATACTTGTTGATACTTCCTCACCTATTATTAACTTGGACGCAACTTTCACATCGTGGAGAAAGGACTTCAACCAAAAAACTTAAGGTATATATAGAAGTATAGATCATCTTCTTCTCCTCTTTCTTTTTTTGTTATTTAGAATTAAAAGAATGCTAGGGGCTTTTCTAACTTAAGGAAAGAAAAGAACATTCTCCTATACAAACAGAGCTAATGGCATGAAACAAAAAGGAAAATATTTAAGTTTATGGAGGAGACCCATTTCGCTTTCATTCCTCAAGAGCCTTTTTTCCCTTCCTGATTGTTTATTTTTTCAATGTTTTTTAAAAAATTTATACTTTATTTGACATCATTCTGACCTTAGTTTTTATCAGTGGGAAGGGTTTTCCCAACTTTTCATAAAAAAAAGTGAAAGAATATAATATGATGTTATCTTTCTTTTAATGTAAGTTGGTTTGAATTCAAATCTAAACCTAGAAAAAAAATTTCAGATCTATTATTTCAAACACAAGCTAAATTCATCTAGCCTATTCATGTATTTAGTTGCAATATTTGTTCCTTTTTTAATGTGTTAAATTCATCAAATAATTGATCAAAACAATGATATATATTTCTTATAGAATAATTCTTTCTTTTCAGCCCAGGTATTGTTGGTTTACAACATAATCTTTCACTTTATTTTTTTCATACTCATCTAATATATTTTAGCTTGCCAGTTTATTTTTGCAAATCTTACATGGCACTCAACAGGCACCACTTGTCACTAAAAAAAATATCCAAATCTACTATCCAATAAAAAAAACACATTCATTTATATCTTTTATTGAATGTAGACGCATCAACTTCAATGCTCCTAATTATGTCATAAGCTTCAGCATGTATAGTTATCATAAGCTTCATTATTGTACATCAGATAATGTCTGAAAGTCATATTGATCATTAATTTCATGATGAATTATTGTCTCATAATAATATTAATATTCAAATAAATAGAACAACTCAGCATTAAGATTGGATTCAGCTTATGGTTCATGCAAGTGAAATTGATTCATTTCTTAAGAGTCAAATCCCTCCTTAACCTGATTTAATCTTTGACAATTTGATTTTTCTTGATGCGTAATTAACACAATTGATTTTTGTAAAGTTGTTAAAATCTCATACTTTTGATGATATGCTAATTGGCCATAATATTGAGCCCCCCTTATAGTTGACATTTTGGCACAACCTTACTTATAATACCAAAGCTAACGCCAAATGTCATAAACCGCAAGAATTCCTAATGTTATATGATGTAATGCATGAAATTACACACACAAGATCAAAACTCACTATTCAAATAACATTAAATTAAATAATCTCATTTTTTAATGAAAATCAGAAAATATGCAAAATTTTGCCAAAATGGAAATTTAATGAACATTCAAATAACAAATTTTATGAGAAATTTGAGATCTTAAGAAGCCATACTTTGATCAAGGTTTACATAAAAATAAAAAAATTTAGATTGCATAAAATTTGACTAAACTCAATCACACACACAAACAAATCAAAATTATGTTGATGAAAAATAACAAGGAAATAAATAACAAAATAAAAGATCTTAACTTCACATTGTTACAAAGAGATGGTTCCTGCAAAAGCTTTTAATTAGAGGTGTCAATTCGGGTTGACAGCTCGGGTTCGGATCGAACCTGGATTGACCCGAGTTTAAACGGGTTGGCCCTAACGCGACCCATTTTTGCAAACGGTTATGGAAATCCAACTTGGACCTCACCTGCACGGGTTGCCAGGTTGACCCGACATGACCCACAAACACTAAATGGGCGTAGACACAATCGCGTGCGGGCGAAGCCTGGCTGAGCGCGGCGAGGTGCTGGCTGTGCGGGTAGCCAGAGGATGGGTTTTCGGTGACTTCTGTTCGCCTGTACCAACACCTGTAGTGGTTTTCTGGGAGGTGGCCAACGGGTTTGACGTTCTGGGAGGTGGCCAATGGGTTGAGAGGCGGGCGATGGAGGATATGAGCTAGTGGAAGAGGCGGCGGCCGGCGGGTATGATGTTCTGGGAGGTGGCCTCGGAATGAGAGGCGAGCGATACATGGAGAAAATAGGCGGAGATGAGAGATCTCGTGATTAAGGCTATTGACTTTGGCAAAGCCGCGAAGGCACCTCTGCGTACAGCTGGGTTTCCGGTTCAACCCGAACCTGACCCGACTTTTGTAACGTGTTGACTTGATAAACTCAAACCTAACCTGTATGTTAAACGGGTTGACCCGAACCCAGAATTTTCTGGGGGTCAGGTTCTGGTCGGGTTTCGAATCGTGTCAAATATTAAAACCCCTACTTTCGATCAATACTTACACTGCAATTAAAGAATTTGCATCTAACCAATACAAAAATTTGATAGGACAGTTGAGATTTCTTTAAGCAACAGTTATCATTTCCACACCCTAATATACCCTTTTGCAATCACAAAAAGATCCAAAGTTCGCAACCTCCCAAATCATAAAATGCTACAATACCAATCATACAAGTTATGGGAAATCAAATTCGCAGGATATCAAAAAGTTGAAAGGGCCAACACAAGTTTCAGTGAAAACATAATAAGCAAATCAAAAGTACCATCTTAAAGAAACATAACAAAAGCAGGGGCAGACTTAGTAGCTGAAGGGAACCAAATAGGACCAATAGTGACAGCAGCTAAACGAGAAAACCTAGGGAAGTACAAATCCAAAAAATTGGCACAAGCCAAAAAAAATAAAACCAACAAAACCGGCTTAGAAAAGAGAATAAGCTTTCAAGAAGATCGTCATCTTAGTCATGTTTTTTTAATAAGCTGAAATAGAAATCAGAAACTATGAAAATGGGACAACGAAAATAAAACCCCACAAAGTTCAGAATATCAATTTACACATCTCAACACTCACATCCTATTTTTTGAAAAGTACAAACTTTAAGATTTGCATGGGAAGGATGCAATGCTCCTCTATTGTTTGATTGACTCACCATGCTTCACTCTACCTAAATCAGCAGAGAAATTGAGAATAGAAGCTAGGGTGGAAGACAGAGGAGAGGGTTCAATTTCTTAAGATGGCAATTATAGCCAAATTGGTCAACAACATTTGATTTAGCATTGGATTTCAAAAGGACATCTGATCAAAAATCCTTGCTACAAAAGCTCCGGCATGGCAGAACAACTTATTAAGGTCAGCTAGCCAACAAAAGTTGAATGAGTAAAGTATCCTTTCGGGAAGAGCATTCAAACACTTAAATAACACAACAAAGAAAATGATGGATGTTGGCGGCCATATGGTAAGTACGTAGATAGCAATTTTATCTTTAAAGTCAAATAAACATGTGCCTTTTTTCAAATAACGAAACTGCTGGGATGGTATTATTTTGCTGGTTTGATTCAATCAGTTATTATTCTATCAAGAATCACGCCACTTGTTAAAACTATGATATTTTTCCTAGAAAGTATACCTGATTCAGGAGTTCCATAAGAATACGCTGAACTTCCCTATCTGCTCCAGTTTGTGCATCAAAACGTGCAGTAGCAATGGCATCCACCTCATCTATAAATATAATAGCAGGTGCATTCTCTTTAGCAAGGCGGAATACATCCCGAACCATCCTCGGTCCCTGGTTAAAATGCAAATAGAAGCAACCAGTTTTCAATTGAAGAATAATGCGACAAAATAATACATACCTCACCAAGTGTACTACAGCAGACAGGCTAGGCTGGGAACTCACCTCACCCAAGTACTTCTGAACAAACTCTGAGCCAACAACTCTAATAAAAGCAGCAGTTGTATGATTAGCCACAGCTTTAGCAAGCATGGTCTTCCCAGTACCAGGAGGACCATAAAGAAGAACACCTCTAGGTGGGTCAATGCCTATTTGCTTGTACAATTCGTGATGTGTAAGGGGTAACTCGACAGCTTCACGAATTTCCTGTTTCTGAATATCACAACCACCAATATCCTGTACAACAAAGAAGGCCATATGGTACAGTTTTCGAAAGAAAGGGCATAATTTATTAGCCAGTAACCAAGGGCAGAATAAATTAATGTGTGAAACAAGTTAAAAAAAATAAACTGGTCATTGTTAGATGTCTGATAGCATTACCTGATATAGAGTACGGTAAACGAGCTCTTTGTAATATGAGGCTAGGGCTGCATCCATTAAGCCCCTAGCAAGGAAATCTAAATGAGGTCAAACTAAGGCGAAAACCTAGCATTTGTTGGAACGTCATGCAGTGAGTACGCCCTTTATACCATAACTATGGCCCAACTAACATAATCACCATCTAAACATACTCGAGTCCACAAGAACGTTACTGCCAGATTATGCAACATGGGCTGGCGCAAATTATTTAGGACATACTAAGTTTCTGTTGATAGTGCTCTAAGCTTCATCAATCAGATCCAACTACCATGATGATCAATTTTTCAAGAGATATTTGCATTGAGTTTGTCCTTTTAGTGCTTTTTCATATATTTCAACGGTTTGTATGAGTTTTTATCTAAGAAATCCTCAACAGTAATTTTGCTGTATACTCATACAGCAAAATTGGGTGATTTAAATGTTGAGAAAGTCACTAATTTTCATAACAAAATGTTTGTCAATGGTGAATATGATGAACAACAAGGTAATCACGGCATGGTGAACAACAAGATTTATGTGGGTGACTTAAATGCCCTAATTAGTATTTTGACTGAGCATATAACAAAAATGGATGACATAAATGTAGGGAAAGGGGCCAATTTTCATGTGAAAGCTTTAGTCAAGAGTGAATATGATGGATAACAAGACAATCACAGTAGAAAACAACAAGATTTACGTGGCTTAGCATAATTAAAATGGACAACCCTAGGAGAATAGAATGGATCCGATCAATTACAGAGAAGCCATAAAAAAAGTATAAAACAAGAAAATCCATCAACTCTGCTCAAAACCCAAATGCACCCTCTCAAATTAAAAAAAAAAGGCTTCAGGTCCCTCAAAGCAAATGAGAAAAAAACAACTAACGTAAGAGAGAAGACAAAAGAAAATGAAATACAAACAAGTTATATTCTTCAAAAGTTCCTCAAAATTTATATCCCTATGGATTTTGCCCATATGTTCTGGTGTAGTGGTACTTCTAGTTCATCAAGAAAATACCCCATCACCACAAACATCAAGTTTCCTTGATTCCTTCTATTTCCCTCTTCCCTTTCTTACTTTAAAAATACTTCTCAGTTCAATATTTCTCTCCAGCCAAAGTTTTAAAACTTCCCCAGCTTTCAAAACATCAATCTGCTGGTACTTCATCAAGTTTATAGATACCCACTGCTAATGCTCAATCATAAAGCATCAATGCACTGCACTTCACACCACCTTGCATGCCCCTATTGTTGGGGATGTGGAAGAAATAAACAACGCAACAAAACAAACAAGAAAGTAAAAGCAGCGGAAATAAAATAACACCAGGATTTAACATGGAAAACCCTAAAATATGGAAAAAAACCACTGAGCCAAACCACACCAAGAAATCCACTATGAAAATTGGGAGAAATAAGTATAGATCTATCTTCTCTCTCACTCTCTCCTAGCTTCTCTTCTCTTTTTCACTGTTCTCACACTCAAAACAAAATAGAAAGCCTAGCTAATAACACCAAGGGACACCACTCTTGAGAAAAAGAAGAAAGAAAATTGTTCACTCCACCTCGAAACGTTGTGGCGTCAGTTTGGAGTGTGCGGTGCTCAAACCTCTAACTTTGCTCTGCTAACAATGTTGTGGCACCCAAACTTGCAGCGTTGTAGCCTCGAACCTAGAGCATTGCAGCGCTCCGCTCTCTATCATTTCTCCAAGCAAATCTGTAGCACCGGGGTGCTCGGGTACACAGCGCCAGGGCATTGCACTAAAAAAAAATTCGGGCACAAAGCACCTAAACTCAAGCAGGGGGAGGAACCCCCGTGCCCCTCCAGTGAGCGCGATATATTGACTTGAGGTCCGAAGTAGCAGTATAATCTGATTGATCGACACAATCAGATTTCACACAGACTAACACCTATATATAGAGGGACTGCACCCAGTGGTAGGGGGATCTAGGGGGCCACGTGCCTCTCCTCCAAAATTTTGAAACACCTGCATCGGGCTTTACGCGAGCGTTTAAAAAAAATCTTATTTCTTGGTGATAGCTTCGCTTTCCCACCAACCAAACACACAAATCTTCTCCCGCGGTAATCCCAGTTCCCTCCTCTAGGCCCTCTGCAATTCATCTCTCTCTCGCAGCCACATGCGATTCCCAGCCCTCACGTAGACGTTCAACCCGAAGGCGGAAGCCCGCTCTGGAGTGCGGTTCTGTTCGGCCTGCTCTCTACAAGTCGTCGCAACCTCCCTGTTGTAGTAACATAAGGGAAGGACCGTCGATTTTAAAGGTTAGTAATAGTAATGGCATCTTCCACTCTTATATTTTTATTTGTTTGTTTCCTGCTCAAATGTAAAACTTGAAAGATTTTTTTTTCTCATTTGGTTTCTTTGGCGTATTGTCTAAGACTTTTTAACCAAACAATTTGAATATTTAGACATTCTTTCATTTTTAATTCAATTTGGGCATTCCCACAAAGGCTTTAAACTTTCCCCTAAAAAAACTAGATGTAGCTAATGTTTTTGAGGTGGAATATGGATTCAATTTGTGAGAGAAGCATCCATGTTCTTCTCTTACTTTTTTTTTCTAAGCAAACCTACGTGAGAGAGAGCAAAAATAATGGTGCTAGTTTCTCTTGTATTAGCAAATGTAAATTAATAGGATTAGTATGAGGACTTTTTGTCTTCATATGTAATAGCTTCTCTTAATGTCCCCCCCCCCCCTAAAATGTTTTTGGCTCCGCCACTGCTGCAACCATGTTTTTAGAAGTCTAACGAGGCAATTTCAAATTCAAATTAAAATCTAACTTTTACATAAAAATATCAACATAAATTTTAAACTTAATTTTAGCTCAAAAAATAAATAATTAATTATTATCTAAATAGATCTTTTGAATAAATGTTTGACTAATCCTAACAAATTAATGGGTCAAAAAAACCTAATATTAGAAAAGCCTCATTTTACAAATGTAAAATTATTTCAAGTTGCAGGTATTTTGGTTAACCTTGGTCCCTCCCTCTATTCTTCCTTTTTTTATCATGAGTGGTTAAGCTTTTCCTAGGGTTCATCTTCTCTCCCCCTTTACAAATAATCATCATTCTATGCATGACTGCTACTCCCTTAATACTATTGGCAGCCTCCCCAAACCATCAATCTTCCGGTCTCTTAATTTTCTTCATATTGCTTGTATATTCGTCAATACACTTTGCATCATAGATATATCCTAAAATTCAAGGAATCATCAATAATTTCCTTTCAAGATAATGAAAGGAGCACATGCTTGAGATAGTTAAATAAACACATATGCATGTTGCCTTTAGGAGATTACACATAGGTTCATGATTCTCAAAGATATTGAATGGCCTATTTAGAGATTATCTATTTATTTTTAAAGTGTCAAGCATTTTTTTAATGGAATTTGTTTCACTATGTTAAATTGCGTTGGAAATAAAAATACACAAGTTTGTATAACTAACATGTAACATGCATACCAATTAGACAAAAGTTACATAAGTATTAGATCAAACAACAAATAATGACCAAAATTCAACAACAAAATAGAGGCTGGAGAGATAAGAATGAAAGCATACAAAGGTAGATTCTACAAAAGATTATTATGCCAGAAGCTTCAATTCATTTTCCAAACCAGCAATTCCTCCAAAAAAAAAATTAAAAAAAAAAAACTAAGAATGAAATCGCATTTTTTTCTCTAAGCATCCATTACTCTGGCAACTTCAATAAAGCTATTTCTATGGAATATTCTAGCAGGTGCGTTTCACACATGCTAAAAGCTACCAAAGCATTCATGTGTTAATTAATAAGTTTTGGATACCAATAACATTCAGATGCTCAGACCTTTTAGTCCTAACATGTAAGAACATTGGCTCGAATGACAGACTCACTCCAATCATATATTAATTGCTGAAGAAAATTCAACCCATTCCATGTGAGCCTGCTAGACATTTAAGAGAGTGCCTCATAATTATTATGAGGCATAAAATTGATTAAGTGTAATTTAACATATTTTCCTTGATGTTGTGTCAGTGTTTATTTAGACCTAAGGTCAAAATTTCATATGATTGCAAGCCCCAATAATCAATTATCCCTCACGCTTTTAAAGATGAACGCTTTATTAGAGAAGTTGCTCAGGCTAAATTTTAGAGCATAGATTTAACCTTTAGGATTAAATTTGATTGAATGATGACTGTGTAGGGTGATGAGAGTAAATTCAATCACAAACTCATGGTCATGGATTATCAGACTGAGATTACCAATAGACCCAATGTAACAATGTCAATAGATTGTAGACTGCAATGACCAAAAAAATTGATTAGCAATCATGAGTTATCTCATCTCAGATATCCTCATTAAAATAGGTAGATATACAAGTGTGTGAAAGACAATAACTTCAATATTAATGTCAACTCTTTTATTTGCAAAGGGCCAATGAGTAGCTTAAAGGCACAAAGTATGGTTACTTGCACTTCAAAGGTGCTGGATAAGACTAACTAGAGGTCAAAGGCATGGTGTCAGAATCAATTTGTGAGTATCAATTATTCATAAGTTTTAACTTGACTCGAAGAAACATGTCTAAGACACATGTTGGATTTTTTATTTATCTGGTTTTAATTGATGGATTTGATGTTTGATTGGTGGATTAATTAGCATGGGAACCAAATTAAATTCAATTTGGGATGATGCTTAAATTAATTAGAAGGCCCAAGTTTTAATTCAATGGATTTGTTGATAGCGTCAAATCAAATAAATTGGGATGACGTATACATCCATTTGAAGGCTTGTCTTTTGATTTAGTGTGTTTATTAGTTTGTGCTGATAAAAAATAATGGTGGCCGAGCTGACATATGTTGGAAGATCCATAATTAGGCCTAATAGCCTTAAGAACGAGGAAAGGTTAATGATGGTTAGTTGTCATTTTAATTGGGACAAGATTTACATTCACCTATTATGCATCATTAGGGTTCTTGATTGTGTTTGATATTTAGCATTAACTTGAATGGAAATATATAGGTAACTGGCCTATTTATAAGTTTTCCATAAGGTCAAAGCTTGCAATCACAAATTTCATCATGAATATAGATGGAACTTATAAGTCGAATATTGAAATTGGCCCAACAGTGCTCGAGTTCAAGATAGCGAACTTAATAAAAATCAAGTTAGGTTTGGGTCAACCCAAAAACTTGAACTTCATATGTTCAATAAGTCAATATTTTCTTTATTTTTCAATAAAATCTTAAACCCAACAACAACTTTTTGCTATCTTTATGAGTTGATGTTTACAAACAAGTCATCATGTACAGCTTGTGTTGGGTTGGTGCTAACCCAGCATACTTAAATGCTTATTGTGTTGGGTTAAATCAAGTTGAGGCTTAGCCAAATCAAGTTAAAGTTTAATCATGTAGAGTTTGGATCAATATTTTCAAAACATTTAATAAATGGGTTAGATTCGGTTTGACTTTATCCAGTTTGGATCTTTTTTAAGTTGAACTCAAACCTAAACCAATAACCCAAATTAGCATTTGTACTTTCAACCGCCAAAGTGTGAACCAATCATGAGGTTCAACTCAAGATACCCAAGGCCAACAAGAGCAAGAATAGGAGCTTATATCCTTTACTCCACTCAAATTAACATCCTTATGGCAATTCAAAATGAAGATTTTATCAAACAATTAAGCACTAAGATATCTTAGGAGTGAAGATCAAACAAAATATTGTCATCACCACCACAGTTGCAAACACACTCCAAAGGATTGTCATCAACTTAAAGAAAAAATTGAATGCCTGATCTTGCATGTACACTTACGGCATTTCCTTAAAAATAGCAGTCATACCCTCAACAAAACCAACAAGAATACCACTCAAATCTTCATCGACAACAAGCAAATAATTGTTTAATGGTTGGAACCATTAAAAGAATTGTTAGCAGCCATAATTTTAACATGAATATTTTTTCTTAAAATTCAGTTGAGCCTTTAGAGAAAAAAATATTTGAATCTAAAACACCATTACATTTAATGACGCTAACTTTGATGGAATTTGAACTCCACATCAAAATCCTCTAATAGCATCTATTGGAAATATCGCCTTAATATATACCTATATATAACACTCTCTTCTAAAGACCTATCTATATGGAGCATCATTTGACAAAACCTTCACAAATGAGTTTGCCAATCGCTCTTCATAATTCAATTATTCACAGATCTAAAATTAAATACATAACAAGAATATAGATATTCATGTTGTAGAAAGACAATTTTCCCCTCAACAGTGAGCTTGAACTAAATTTTTTCCGTAGATGATGAAATATTAGTCCAATGTCATTTCCAATAACATAATTCTTTGCAATCAAATGATTGAGCCAGAGCCAAGCAACTCAGCCACCAGGTTTCCTCCAACTTAGTCGGGTCTTTACAACGAGAAAAAAAAAAAAAACCCCACGAAATTAGGGCTGTCCTCCCACCACAGAAAAAGACAGCATCTCAGATTAACTAAAGAATAGGATTGCTTAACTTTGCATTGATCCAACTTTCAAAACCTGCATTATAATCAAATTTAAAAGGTGGTTCTTAATCACATCTCCAACTCTTATCCAAACCAATGGGCACTAGGTATCACTTGCTTCAAGTCATGCGATCCAAGAAAAAAGGTACATCAAACGCACTGATAAAACTCACTCAAACCCATATATATGCAGGCATGAGGCATCTTAATTAACATACCCTAGAACAATCGGATGTAAAGATCTTAGGAAACCCTAATCTAAATCCCAAGGGAAGCGCACAATAATCAAACCAAAAGAAATGTATGGTTTCTCTTACGTTGTACGTTACGTCTGGTTTCTCCGACTGGCTGAGGAGAGAAATACTGGAATCGGCCTCAGGCGGTAGTACGTCGACAAGGGCATTAGAATGTCGGTGGAGAGCAACCGACGCAGACGGCTTAAGCAGCTCACGGTTAATGGTGCTGAGAATTCGAACATAGTAATTTGATCCAGTGGTTGACCCGACGATGCCGTTGTTTTGATCAACCATTTCCATGAACTGGCCGATGACGAGTGGCACGGACTGGATCCGCTTGACCTCCTCCTGCGCCCGAAGTAGCTCCCGTTTGAGGTTTTTATGCTCATCTTTGACGTACTCTTCCTGGATGTTGATGAACTCGAGCTGTCGCTGGAGGGATTTGAGGCGGCCATATAGATCCTCCTCCTCGTCACCAGAGAGGATCGAGTCCGTCCGAACAGCAGAAAAGCTCGCTGGTGGAAGATCTGCCGGCGTCGGAGGGGGCTTCGGGTCGAGGATCATCGGCGTAGAAGCCATGACAGCCACGCAGGGGCTGTTTGGTAGCAGGATTAATGCCGGATTTGAGCTAAATCCAGCCAAACGGCCTAAAATGCAAAACCAAATCTCACGGCAAATGAAAGCCTCCGTAGACGGAAAATTAACCCTTTTCGTGGTAAATCCCGGATTTCCGAAATCCTCTGATTCGGCGGATTTAGGGGATTTGGCCGAAGAAGCACGCGAAAGGGAGAAAGTTACCTTCGCAGCGAGCGAGCTCCCATCGTTGCTTCCGATCAAAATGTAGTGACTTCGATCCAACAGGAAGGGAGCGGCTTCGAGGAGCGAAGTCGAACAGCGACGAAGGAGCCGAAGAAGAACAGCAACAAAGAAAGACAGGGGAGAAGTAAACCGTAGGCAGCGTAGGCCCTAGGCTATGCAGAGAAAAGAGCAAATCGTAAAAGAATTAATTTTAATAATTATTATTCATTAATTAATTAAACGTTAATTCATGTAAATTAATATTATTTATGATTTATTTTAATGAAAATTATTATATTTGACTAATTAACTAATTACTTAATCAAGATATTAGATTATGCTAATTAAATTTTATTTCAATTTGATTAAAAATTTAATTAGCTATGATTGATACAATTTTTATTTAATTTATCTAAATAGAAATGATGAGTTAATTAATTAAATAGATTATTAATTAATAAATAATTCATTTGTTGATTAGTTTTTGTATGATTTAAACAGTCTATTTCGGAGACTTGATGTTTTACAACAATTTTGTAATTAGTTTATTATAAATTTAGATAATTATAAAAACTATTAATATTAATTAAATAGAAGATTATTTAAACAGAGTAAATTAAACTTAAATATATGGTATTGTTGTATTTTTATCAAAATTTTATTGTATTTTATTTGAACTATTTATTGTTGTACATTAATTATCCAAAAAATACATTTCAAATCTCTTAACCGTTTTAAATCCTGAATTTGATTGCCAAACGGTCACATAGGATTTAACAGGATTTATCATAAATGTAACAAACAGTTTTAATGATTTAACCCCCCAAGATTTTATAAATCCGGATTTAGAGGATTTACGAAATACTACTTAAATGAAATCCTATGTGCTACCAAATAACCCCTTAAGGATCTGTTTGGATATGGGATTTAGGCTAGAATTTAGCCAAGATTTGAGCTAAATCCTGCCAAATGTAAAAAAATACAAAGTTAAATCTGATAGTAAATCTAATATCTAATTCACAGCATTTTTGTCATTTTTTGTCCTAAATCCTGGATTTCGCAAATCCGTCTAAAGAAGCGCACGAAAGGGGGAAATATCATTACCTTTGTGGCGAGCACTAGGCTCAACTTCCGATCCGACAGGAATAAAGACAGAGTTGGAGAGCAGGGCAGAAAAAGCTTTGACTCTTCGAACTTCATACTTCACCCGAAGCGACCAACAACAAATAAATGTAGAAAGAGGAAAAGTAACCCCAAACAGGCACAACGAAGTGATCGTTCGAAGCTTCCCATGTAAGCCAAGGAGGGACGCTTCACGCGAACTGACATACGAGAAAACGAATGGGGAAAACCAACCAGCATTAGATTATTCTTAATTTCTTAATTAGGCATTAGTTTAATTTTTCTTAATTGATATATCTAAAATATTAAATATTAATTAGTTTGATTATTACTATAAATATAATTAAACCAAATTTGTTAGTATAAAATATTAGTTTATTAATTATGGTACTTATAAGTATAATGAGTAATTAAACTTTTTATTAAAATACTATATAAAATAGTAATGATAATATTAGTGTAAATAGTAAATTATAAATTATAATTAATTGGTTTATTATTTAAAGTTATAATTGAATGATTAAATATTTGAAAATATAATTAAATAATTAATTAGATAATTATTATTAAAATTAGCATTGAAATACTTATTAAAATAATAACTAAATAAATTATTAATAAAATTGCCTCATCCATCAACTGAATTACTAGATTAACAAAACGAGAAATGGAATCAAAACTGACAAAAGGAGTAGTACAGTACATTAGCGTTGACTGACTGACACTCCACCCATCTATGATCCATCAACTAATCACACCGGTAGAAAACAACTAAGCAGACATACATATGAAAACAATCAAGAAAGAAAGACAATATACTACCTAAAAACATCTCACTTAACAACATATAATTTATTATAGCTCTATTTTATAGTTAGTCCCCCAAAATCACTATTATGATATCAAAAAGGACTATCACAATCTAACCAAATATGGCCCGCATATAACAAATCATATCATTTTGAGTAGTGATAGGCCAAGCCAAAAATCTAGGTTTTTGAAACTTTTTTTGGATTTTTTTGAAATTAAAAAACATACTACGTAGCTACTAATATACTTCCAAACAATGAAAAATAACTCATTCACAAATTTTATTCTTTCATTCATTATCAAAGTGTATACAAAATAAAATATATTCACTTCAATATATGATTATAGAATATAGAATCTAAATAAAATAATAGCCATGCCTGTTAAATTTTTTTTTTAAAAAAAGTACTCTATAGACTTAGATAAATCGAATCCTCAATCCTTAGCTATTCAACTAACACTTTTCCCTTCCCTTGACCAAAAATAAAGGGTAGAATATATGTGAGTTAACATAGCTTAGTAGGTTGCATCCACCAATCTAAATATCCAATATTTAACTTATTATGCTTATTAAATGAATTTAACAACAGTATATGACAAAGTATTATACTGGACAGAATATAGCTCATAGGTAAAACAAAACAAAATATGCATTAATGGTGTCAAAATGGGTTTTTGGGCCAGGTTTAATTCCAATCTGAAACTGATATATTTAATGAACTCGACCCGAACCCAATCCAATTAGGCAAACATGTCATAAAACCCAACCCAGACTTAACCCAACCTCCTAACCCACAATGCAGCCAGGTGTGAGTTGGTGAAAGAGCTAGTGGGCGCCAGCGAAGGGGTGAGAGCGGGGCCAACAGCAAGCCTATAGGAAGGGTGCGAGCATGAGTATGGGTGCGAGTGCGAGTGTGGGTGTGGGTGCGACATTAGTGCGGACACGAGCACGAGAGGGATCATTGTAGATGTATACGTTGGAGAGATCGCTACGGGAGCTAGTGCGGAATCCCTACCGGCAAGGGGGTGACCAAGATCACTTTTATGTTGATTTTGAATTTTCGTGTTGATTCGAACCCGACCCGAAATCATAAACAATTTAGAAAATGAAACCCTAAACTGACCCATTTACAAAATGAGTTGACCCAAACCTTGAATTTTTTGGATCGAGTCCGGGTCGAGTTTCACATCGAGTCAAATATTGACACCCCTAAGGTGCACTGAAAAATAAAAACGAACAAGCACTTTATATATTAGAGTAGAAAGTAATATATTTTCTAGATGCCCTTATACCTCCCATTAGAAACAATCTCTTATAACTCTCTTGTGCTAGCATTTCAGAATATATACCCATATGACTTCTAAATGCTTAAAACATATCATATATTTAAAAATTCAAATCCCTATGACTCCCGGTGCTTCAAACACATCAGAACTCATCAAAATTACACATTTTTGCCAGATGAACACATATATTATTTCATTGCAGTCAGTCAATGAAATATAAATAAACTAATTTTAGAAATACTCATAATGCTTTACTGAAGGGGTATACTTATTGGCTTGACCTAATAATATGATCTGAACCTAACCTAAAAAAATTGGGTTTGAGTTGACCTATTTAACAAATGGGTGGGGTTTGGATTATGATTTTGACCTATTTTAAAAATTGTGTGGGGTCAAGTCTGGGGTCAACCCGTTAACCAGAATTTGACCCATCCTCGACCTCTCTAGGTGTCCAACTCACCCCTGCGATGGCACTAGGCAGCACACACATGCAACACGAACCCACACACAACACCCAAGCAATCTACTTGCCTCGTCGCGCACACAACACGAACCTATGCACAACGCACTCACGGTGATGCGACCTCAACCTTGCCAATCCCACTTGACGTCGTACACACAGTTCGTGCACGACGCTTGCACAGTTTTCCATCCTCCGTAATCTCGCACGAGCTTGCGCTCGATGCTCGCGGGTTGCGTCGGGTCAACCATGTGAACTGGTTGGTCGAGTCCTGGTCCGTCTAACCCATTTACAAAACCAAGTCGAGTTTGTGTTAACTAAATTAGACTCGAGTCAAATTCAAATTTTACCCGAACCTAACACGAATACTCATTTTGACACCCCAACTTTAATGTTAGGCAATATATTTAATTACTTGGTAGAATTTCATAGTTCAAAATTTTACTAGATTAATACGAATTGTTTATATTACTAATTTGAAGCCTTAATTGTACTAAAATATTATTTTATGAGATCAAAATTATTTTATAATTTACTAAAAATAATGAACTTTTTAATTTATCTTGCGAAAATTTTTTAGAAAAAATATCTAAATTTCTAAAATTATTATAACTACAACATAAAAAAATTATACGGTGAAATTTTTGCGGGTACAAACTTACCCTTGTTTTTATAATACAAATTATAATTTAAATTAGAAATATCTCGAAATGTCTATAATATTGAAAATTGAAATAGATAGAATGTATCATACATCAATCTATATAACTTTTAGAACAAGACCTATAGTATAAAATAGATTAGTTATTACAATCACTTTCTCTCTCTAAAACCTCTCCCTCTCTCTCAAAATGACTCAAGGGGGGAATTTTTAATAAAATGAATAAATGGAATTTGATATTTTTATAAAAATTTGATCCAGCGTTGTAGTGCTTGACCTTACTACATTGCATCGCTCCCCATCTAAGAGCATGGTGCCACATCGTCAATTATTTTTCTTTTTTCATAAAATATTAGAGAGCTTAATGCCATAACGTTGTCAATTTGACTCCACGACATCCACAAAGGAAAAAATTCTAGATTTTACAAACATGAACACAAACCCCTAAAACACGCACATACATATGCATAAGACATGAATGTAAAATTTCAATAGGCTACCCTTACTACTTTGACTTAGAATGGGAACAATTCTGCACTGCATCACTGAGTGTTAAAAAGTGACCCTAACCCATTCTGGATTTGTTGGGATTTATGCTTGACTATGGTTAAGCACCTTTGGCCATAGTTAAGCAAGATTACCAAAATGCCCTAAGGTTATCTGCCTTTCATCCTTAGGTCAAAACCTAGGAAATTGAATTCAAATAAGGGTAGACCATTGCTAAGGGCATCTCCAACCGAACGCCAAACGAGCGTTTGGCGTCATTCCTTCGCTCCAGCCGAACGCCAAAAAATCCTCCATTTGCTTGCGGGTGAACAGTGCAACGCCAATATTGGCATTGCACTGTTCACCCACGCCATTTTTCTCTGTCAACTGGAAAAATGCGGGAAAGGAGAAGGGTCGTTACCTTGGCGCAGAAGCAAAAAAATGGCGTTGGATTGGAGCAGCACCACGCCATTTTTGCTTTTTGCAGTATTTTGGCGTGAAAAATAGAGTTCTCGATTGGAGATGCCCTAAGATCCTTAAATTGCCGCCCAAACTAACCTAACCCAAGGCATGAACCCAAGCCAACCTGAACCAATCTAATGAATCAAACATGAAATTAGGCTAGCATTTTGTATATTGGCATGAATAGTACCTCTAGAAGAATATTTAAATATTTAAATATTATTTTTATTTTCATTATATACTTAAATATAATATTATTTCAAACTTCTTTTTTTCCCCTTTTATTTTATTTATTAATAACCAGATAATTCCGTAGTGCTAAAACACCTGCTTGTCGGCGTACATTTTGTCCTAAGCTTCACGATAGACTCAAAACGAAGCACGGGCCCTTTGACAAAATCGAATCGGCCTCCGTTTTCTTTGCATTTAAGAGAAAAGAAAACAAACCGACGATTTCGAGCCCTGCAGCCAAATATTTTTCACCACTGCATTTCCTCCTTTGGCTGGCCTTGATCGATTCCAATTCCGGATTCTGCTATTCCGGTACATGCTTTGTGTTTTATTTTCTATGTCAATCAGAGTCCCAGGCTCGAATCTTATGTGACTTTGAGGTTTCAGTGTTTGTGTAACAGATACGAGTTTTAATTTTTTAAAATGTTCTTTCTTGTGTTCTTTGCTGAACGATTTGCGATTTCTGATGGTTAATACGTAGATCGGCTTGCTAAATTTTGATAATATACTGATGCTTGGCTCCCCTTTCCCTTGCTGGATTTAGATAGCCCTCATAGTTGGATTCAGGGATTCATTGCTACTAGTTCCCTCATGGGAGCTTCTTTGTATGTTTTGGAATGGGTAGGAGTGGCCTCTGAGGAATCATTGTCGGGGATTCGCTGATTAGTTTCCGTTGGACAGTTTTTGATTGGGCCTGCGTGTTTGCAATCCCTATACCATGATAGCTTTCTCGGTCTTTGAAGTAGTTGAAAAAGTCTATTATTGTTACCATAATCACTCTCAAGAAAGGCCATATGTACAACTAACTTTTATGTTCGAAAGAAAATTTTGGTACCCCCTTTGATAGAGTTTTGCGATGGATTTTTGAAAGGAGAGAGAAGGCGGTTGTTAGGAAGATAGAAAATTTGGTACCATTGTTGCGACTGAAAAGATTACAAACACTCGTTTGCCGCCTTGATCTTGTCGGCTCATCCGGTGGCTCTTCCTCCTCGAAGTCCCTCTGACAGTTCGTGTGGTGCTGTTAATTGTGAGGCCGTAACACCTTCTCTTGCTACTTTCTGGTGAGGTAAATCATCTTCCTTCTCCACTTCTTCCTCTTCCTTTTGTTCTCCTCCTTTGCTTCCATCATCTCTTTACCAACTAGAGGTACTATTTTCCAGTTGAAACTAATAGGTAGAATGAAAATTACCTACAATAATCTGTATTAGCACGTTCTTAATGTACTGAATTATTTCTGCAAGGTAGTATAGAATTCTGTATGAACTTACAACTAACCACACATAAAAAAACTTTTTCTGCAGCTGCTCCTCCTTTGCTGCAATCCATGACCAAGTTTTTGCCGACAGTTTAAATGATTTGGGATTAAGAACATGATTGTTGGTGGTTTGTTGAATATATTGGATGAATTTGACAAGGATTAGCTTTTCATGTACTTGATGAGTCTTATAAAAAAAATCATGTTAATATTCTTCAATGGGTGTAATTTCCGGCTAAGCATAATAAAGATATAAAAATTATGGTTCTAAAAAAATACTCTTGAGAATTTAAAATTAACTGCATATGACATTCAGAAAGATATCGCAAGAGCTACATCGATCACAATAATAAACTTTATAACGAAGAAAATTGGAGATAGTTAAATATCTATTTTATTTGATGAATCTTGTGACATATTTGCTAAAGAGTAAATGGTATTCTATTGCAATATGTTAATGAAAAAGGTCAGATAATTGAACATCTTTTGGGTATTTCTCATGTTCTAGACAAAAATGCCAGATTTCTTAAAACAATTATTGAACAACTTAATTTATAGTTTAAGTATTTCAAGAATGTGTGGCCAAGGTTTTGATGGAGTTAGAAATATGAGGGGAGAGTTTAACAAACTAAAGACTATATTCCTGAGTGAAAATAAATCAACACATTACATTCATTACTTCTCAAATCAATCACAATTAGCCTTAGTATTAGTTGCCAAAAATCATGTTCAAATTGCTTTTTTATTTACTATAATTTCAAAATTGATAAATATCGTTGTTGTTTCATGTAAGCATCATGACTAACTTTGAGATATACAACGAGAGAATATATTAAGTAAATTACAAAATAAAAAACTGATAATAGGGCAACAATTGAATTTAAGAAATAACTCTATGGTGTGTAGGCGATGCATGATGAGTTTCAAATTATAAATCAATTGTAAGATTGATCATAATAATTTCTTTAGTAATTGATGTTCTAAAAATTATTTTGGAAGATGGTATAAGTACTGAACAAAAAGGTTAAACATCTACATTAATAGAATCATTGCAAAGTTTTGATTTTTTTGCCTATATTTTATGAATGATATACTTGATATCACTGTTGAATTGCACATGGCCTGCAGAGAATAGAAATATATTTTAAATTTAATATTTTAGGTTAAGTTATCTAAAATAAGACTACAAGATATGAGAAATAATAAATAGGAAGACTTTATTAATAAAGGCGCTTCATTTTGTGAACAAAAGAAAATAAACATTCCCCATATGGATGATAAATGGGTTGCTTGTGGACATCCTCGTCGTAAAGATCAAGTCATAATAAATTTATATCATTTTCGAGTTGAAATATTTTTCAGGATCATTGATATGTAACTTCAAGTGTTGAATAATCATTTTATAGGGAAAAATATTGACTAACTTCTGTTTTTACCCTGTTTGAATCCAAATAATTAGTTTTGCATTTAATAAAGACAAATTAATTTGAATGGCCCACCTTTATCCAATTGATTCTACTCCTGTTGATTTGACGATTCTTGATAATTAGTTGGAAACTTATGTTATGAATATGCAGTCTGATGAATATTTCAATTCTTTAAAAGATATTAGAAAACTTGCTGAGAAAATTATTCAAAGTAGAAATGATGTTTTATATCATCTTGTTTTCAAGCTGTTAAAAATGACATTAGTCTTACTTCTTGCAATAACACGAGTCGAAAGAGTATTTTATACTATGAATATTATTAAAAAAAATGCGAAATAGAATTAGAGATCAATGACTGAACAATATATTAATCACTTATATTGAGAAAGAAATATTAGACTATATTGATAATGAAGTAATTACTCGATTATTTTTGAATGTGAAGATTGGAAGTTATAAATGATAAGTTTTTTTATTATTTTATATTTAATATTTAATCTTTTTAAATTAATAAATTCAAAAAAAAATTTGTTGTTCCCAAACCTAGATGAAAACATTTGAGGGAGAATTTTTTGAAAAAAATAAATTTAGGCCCCCGCTTTAAAAAACTTTGGCTCCGCCACTGCCTGAAAGAAGAGGTTTACAATCTTAATTTGCATTAATGTTGACATCTTGCCTGTATTGCAGTGTTGTCATGTGACAATCAAATTTACTACCATATTTTGAGTAGTCTCTTGAGAAGTCTTTGCCACAGGTATGCCGCAAAAATAAGTTGCTGATTGAAGCATCTTTAAAGTTTTTTTTTTTCAATGGCTACTTGATTCAGTCTAGCGTTATTTTGAAATGATTGAAGTTCCTGTGCATGTTACTTATGTTGCTGTCCTGTCTAATTGGCTTGAGGCAATCTTGTTTAATATACAATTTTTTGCTGTGTCAATGATTCATCAACTCTTCACAAGGGAACATATTTATCCATTTTATTATATTTCTTAAAATCATTCTTTGTGGTGCAGCATTCATCAAATGTTTTGATTAAAAGTATTGGTGCGAATAACTATGATGCTTGATGGCTAACTTGATGTTGAAAATGAAATTATTTTTTCTTGTTTTGTCGTATCTGGTATACTAGCATGATTTGAAATTCAAGAAAAATGCTGCTGTTACGATGTTCTGTCCCTTCTCTGCCATGCTGAGACTGTATTGTCATGTTCCTTACTAATTGACCCGGTGTAATACTGAATTTGAATGGCTTAAATAATCCGTGTAGAGACTGAATCTATGATCCCTTCCCTATCTTTCCTTCAACAGCTAATGTACTTTATATCAGCTTTTCCATTCCTGTTCATCATGTATATACTTAATACCTATGCTTTTATGCACCTTATCAGTAAATTGTCATGTCATTTTTAGGTAATACTTTCTGATATAATTTTTTCACATATAATTTCCAAGATGAACAACGAGCCTTCTAGAACGGGATCTGCTCCTACATTGATGGTAAGGTTTCTATGAAACCCTTATGAGCGCAGAGGAAAATATTGTTGATTAGGAGTACCTTTTTCTCATTGCTCATTTTTTTTCTGTCCTTATGCATTGTATAGTGATGACGAAGCTTTTTTAGGTCTTTGCTCTAGTGGATGTTGTAAGTTTGGTTTGTAAGAAGCATGAATGCTACATCGTGTAAGCGAATTCTGTATATGACACGCCACACCACTAATAATTTTGGCAATCAGTAACTTATTGATCCTCCGGCACTTTGTTTGTTTGAAATTTACTTATTGAGAATTCTATACTGTAGAAATAGGCTCCTCAACAGTATTGCCAATTTTTATCTTCATAATTCCTGCATTAACAACTTGCAATTGCAGAGTAATGTTCATGTGAGAATCAAAATTGTGACCTCCGGAAGCTAAGCAATTATATAGTGAATTCTATTATGGATGCATTAGTTTATCAAATTTTCTTATTTTTCCATATTTTAAGAACTAAACTTGTATCATCATATAGTTAATATATATGATATCCAGTTTTATACGGTGGGTTACTTTGGCTTGCGGTGGTTTAGCTTTTTGTCTGCTTTGCGCTGGGATAAGTTGTGGTTTAGCTTTTCTCGTCTTTTGTGCCAGAATAAGTTGTTGCAAAGCAGAAGGATATTCCTTGGGTGAAAAATGGTTGAACAACTTGCTGTTTTTTGATAGCAGGATAGTCCAATCAAACAAGTCTCTAGCTGTTTTGGTTTCTCATTCATTTTTTTCTTTGAAGTGTTTCTTTCAGGGTATTCATTTTCCATGTTGTAAAACATGGGATTTGAATAAATTGTACTTAAAAAAAGAAATGATTATCATTAATATGTGATTAGATAATATAAACTTGCCATTGTTTATGCCGGTTTTTTTAATCCTAATTGGTTTCATATTTTATTGAAAAATAATAATTACTAGTTTTTTTTTCATTTATATTGTTTTTTTGAAGCTATTCATTTTTCAGATAAATTGAATGTACGCAGAAATAGAATAATGATGTGTAATTTGGTCCCAAAACAAGATGATGTACTCTAACTTGTTTGTAGGGCCAGCAGCACTATTTAACTTCTAATTACTAGGGGCTGTTTGGTATCGGATTTATCGTCGGATTTACGCTAAATCCAACCAAATGGTTTTACAAAATCCCGGGGATTCAATAAATCCCGGATTTACGAATTTACTGCTTAAATCCCGGATTTACTAAATTCCTTGGTTCGGTGGATTTAAAGGGATTTAAAGAGTGGCGGAAGACTTACCGCGGCGCCCGTGTTGCCGAAGCTCAACAGTCGCCGAAGAAGCGCACGAAAGGGAGAACCTTCACAGCCAGCAAGCTCCCGTTGTTGCTTCTGATCAAAATGTCGTAACTTCCGACCCGACAGGAAGGGAAAGTCGTCGAAGTAGCGAAGTCGAACAACCACGAAGGAGTCGAAGTAGCGACGCGCACAATCTCTACATCTCCTGCGAAGCAACCAAGCCGAACAACAATGGCGATAAGAAAAGATGAAAGGCAAACCCTAGACGCCTCAAAGTTATTATTGATTAACTTAATTAATATAATTTAAATAATTAATAATTAAGTTAATTAATTAAATAATTAATAGTATAATTAGTGCATAAATTAATTATCTAATTTAACTTAATTGACCAATTAATGATATAATTAGTAATTAAATATTAATATAATTAGCTTTTTTTAATACTTCAAATGTCATTTTGATCAATGTTAGTTTGTAATTTGTTTTTTATTGAATTTTTAGTCATTTTATATGCACTAAAATTGGTTTTATTATGTTTTATGCAATGATCTTGATTTCATAAATATCTCCTTTAAATTTGAATCCCTAATCACCATAAATCCTAATATATGTTACCAAACAGTTTTTCAGGATTTAACATTTAGCATGCCAAACAGTTTTCAGGATTTAACACATTTCGGATTTACTAAATCCGGATTTACTAAATCCGGATTTACAGGATTTATTAAATCCCACTAAAGTTAAATCCCACTTGTTGCCAAACAGCCCTTAAAAGTTGTAAACTCCCTCTAATGCGTTTTTTGAGTTGTTTCTTGCTTGCTTTCTATGCATGAGTATTTAAAACAGTGAAGATCAATACCTGACAGGGAAGTAATTTTTCTGTACTGCAGTTTCGTGGCAATTATTCGGGAAACAGGGAGCAGAGTTCTGAGATATTCACTTCCTTTCCAGCCCTAGCTGATGCTGCATCTTATCTGACTCAGACGACTTCATACTTAACTCGCTGCTTTGCAGGGTCTGCTGGTAAGTCCTAGGACTGTCCATGCGATGCTTTTTTGTCATCTTTTCCGTAATCCCATTTAACCGCCTTTCTCCACGCCAGCCATACCCTGAGCATATCAGCGTCAACTTTGCCTCTTTGCACTTGCTTGTAATGCCTAGACCTATGCATTCATACATGGAGTTTTTTGGATGTTTATTTAGTTGAGTTATTTGATGCTCTTCCCTGAATGGCTAATTTAAAAATTTTGAAAAATTTTATTTGTGCTTTTGTTCCTGCTATTGCTTTTAGATGAATCTGTTTTAGATGACGGTGAGGAGTTGGTAACATTTAGTTCTGGAGAAGCACACATATCTGATTCAGTGAATGGATTCACAGCTGCTCATGACTCTGTTGGTTCTGGAACAACGTTAATGACACCTGATGAAAGAGGCACAGCATCATTAGGAGGTTCTTCTCAAGCTGGAACTGGACCATTAGTCTCAACTAGTGTTTTCCAGATCGGTCCTTCAATTTTCCAGGGGTAAGTAGAATAATCATTTTGACCTTTAATTTCACAATTTAAATGTATAAGTATTACCTCAGAGGTTCACTTGGCCAAGTTTTGCAGCTGGAATAGGCTGCAGCCTAACCAAAAGTTGCAGTTGCACTTAAAATCGTTTCAGAAGTATTTAGATTTAGGTCATCTTAACATTGTTGTTGCTAGGTCCGAAGTTCTAGATGAGAAAAGTAAATAGTTGCATTAGGTAGTCGACAACCAAGTAAAATTTATCGAATAATCATAACCCGAATCCTTTAAAAATTGTGTTAATAAAAGGGCATTTCCTATAAGCAATGCGCTGTATGGCCTAAATATAGTGAAATGTGTGGAAGGCCGCTGCAATGGTGCCCGATTGCAGTGTTAAATAAGCAAAAGGTTCCTCCATCATGGACGGATGCAGGCAAAGAAGTTAGTCCATAAAATTAGAATTAGGATTGTATCTTGAAATATATGTTCTCTTCCAAGGAAATTAATGAAATTAATAAATATTATGATTCATAGAAAGGTAAATATTCTCTGTGTTCAACAAATGTCTTAAACTATGTTATTTAGGTAGTTGTTCCAGAAATGATGCAGATGTGATTATAAATAAAGTTTTGAGGGATAGTATTATAGAAATTAATAAAATTAAAGATATAATTATAATTTTAAGGATTATAATTGATGCTAATATTATTAATATAGGCGCTTATGCTCTTTATAGGTTTTGATATATGTTCAAAATTAAAATTTTGGAATGACATAGAAAAATTAAAACAAATGATGTCTCTTAAAGAAATAATTTTTATTAGATGAGATTTAAATAAACATGCTAGTAGAGTAGTAGAAGATTTTAAAAATATTCATAATGGTTATGGGTTTGGAACCCCTAATGAAGGTGGTAGGACTATTTTAGATTTTGCTATAATTGCTAATACCTTATTTAAAAAAAAAGACGAGCATCTCGTCACTAATAAGAATGGACATTGGTAAAACTTAGGTTGATTATATTCTTATAACAAAAATAGATCATCTAAATTGTAAAGATTTTAAAATTATTTCTAGTAAAAATTTATATATCAAACATCGCTTATTAGCTTTAGACTTTAAAATGAAGGGTTAGAATATGAAAAATAAAATAAAAATTATCCTAGGATTATATGGGTGCATTTAAAGAATATTAATGAAAATATTTTTGAGAGAAAGATTTAAGATCTCAAGACTTGTGTTGTTCATGAGGAAGCTAGTATTATATGAAAAAATTAGCTAGTGATATTAAGAATATTGCAAATTATGTGCTTGGAGAATCAAAAGGAAAAGTTTTTATTAATAAAAATAATTGGTGGTGGATTTAAAATGTGCAAGAAAATATTAAAAATAAGAAGTTTTATTATAAAAATTAGTTTATATGTAAAAGCTCGAAAAATTGAGAACGATATATAGAAGCTTGTAGGGAGTCAAAAAAAGCAACATGTGATGTAAAATATTAATTTTTATTTATTTATGTAATAGATTAGATGTTAAGGAGGGAGAAATATGTATGTATAAGCTAGCCAAGCTAAGACATAGGAGAAGTAAGGATCTAATTCAACTGAAGTGTATTAAGGATTAAGATAAAAAGGTTCTTTCTTTAAAAGGAAATTTAAAATAGTGGGATGAAATATTTCAATAAAATTTGTGAGAATATGATTATCTTTTATGTTATTAGTACCCTAAATAAAAGATAGATTTGTTGTTATCATTATATTAGTAAACCAAAATTAAATAAAAAAAAAAAATCTAGTGTGAAAAAGTATTGAGACCTGATGATGCTGCAATAGAGGTGTGGAAATGCTTAGAAAATCAAGAAATTTCTTGGCTTTCTAAAAATTTTAATATTATTTTTGTGTGCTTCGAAAATTCGGTCCCGGCTTGCCCATTGCTTTCGGGGGAGTTTTAACGGATTAAGTTCTGAGGTAAATTTTGGGAAGGCAGATGGGTTTATATATAGGACACTACCCAAAGATTTCGTCCTCATTTTGTGAGGACTTTAGAATTGAGTTTTGGTTTCCTATAGGCGCAAGTCCCTATAGTTAGTTACCCCTCCTGCTAAAGAGAGAGAACTTTTAATTAAGGCTAGTCGTCAATCGGATACGTAAAGAAACACAATATCTAGCATATAGTAGCAGCATGGGCTTATGTATTGAGAGTTTGATATTTAAAATTTGAAATTGCACCATCTTGCCCTTAAAGTGGATGTTGGGGGGGATGGACGACGGACCTGATCAAGATCTCATGGTTTCTTCATCCTAGGCCATCTTGATACTTGTTCTACTTAGTTAGAGGAGATAGTCGACCCAACCTGACAAAAGGATCCTTGTCGGCAGCTATGGGTTGCTTCGTCCAAGGATACCTTGTAGACTTGGGGTGAGTATTTGTCTAACGTGACAAATTTTAATCCACCTTAGCTAACAGACGGCTTTGTGCCCTATCGATTATATCCTATTAATTCATATTTCAAGGATTTAATGCCATTGGGGAGCATACGGGCTTTAGCCATAACCGTAATTTAGTGATGCCATTTGGCGGCAAACCACCCGCTTCAGAGGGCTTTGGTCATAACTGTTTACATGCGGTGCCATTCGACAGTGAAATCGCCTGTTAGAGGACACTTGCCACGTCCTTATTGATAAAAGACTTGTTTGAGAATGAATCTTAGTGATATTCTCGATCAGACATCAGCTCTTTGGGAGCTAAAGTGATATTTAAATTTGTCCATCTCGGCAAACTGTTGCGGAGGATGGATGAATTTTGCAAAACTGTTGCGGAGGATGAATGAATTTTGCTTTAAATGTTTGGTAGTTTATTTCAATTTTAAATATTTGTTTTGAGTTTTTTTTTTTTTTTTTTTGATTTTTTGAATGTTTGATAGATATTTGAGAAATATTTGGAAATATTTGTGAATCCCTCCGGTTAAGATTTTCTTTCAACATGACCATCATCGGGATAATTACGGGTATTTGCATTTGGTAATTTCATTGACTGGACCTTGTCGACTTTGTCAACTTGCTGACAAAGGATTGGGCTCATGTGTTGTATGTTTTTGTTGAATAAATTTTTTTGTTATAAATCTTGAAGGCCTAATATGAATGTATAAAATAGATATTCCAGTCGACACCTTGGTTCGTTTTATATTTCTCAAGCTTTAAACGAGTAACTCGTTGAAAAAATGTTAGTGAGCCTCATCGAGCCTAAACTAAAAAGTCATGTTTTAGGAAATTTTATAAATGCTGAATTCGGTCTTGTTAAATATTTGTTGAAATATGTTATATCTTTTTAAAAGCTTGTGCAAGAAGGAATCCAATGAGGATACATGCCTACAAGCTCACGTCATTGCGCGCTTGTTGCTAGAATTTTGTGCTTAAAACTATATAAACAGTACTGCTGAAACATTCAACTGATATTGTGCTAAATGTCGCTGCATTAGCCTAGTAGGGTTCTGCGGTTAAGAAAGAAATCATAATCTAAGTGGAATATTGTAATGGGTTAAATGAAAATTTGGAATAACAACTTTTGTGATAATTTTATTTTTAACTTAGTTGATTAAGGTGTTGTAGAAAAAAGATTAATTTTTAATTAGTTTTTTTAAAAGTTTTCATCTAGTTCTAAACATATTTAGTATTATATATTTATTAATTTAGTTTCTATTTTCTAATGGTTAATATTAATATTAATTTGGTTAATAGATTACTTAATCAAGCTTTATTATCGAAGCTCTTACTAAGACATCATATGGCCATTGCTGTCGTGGTCATGGACTCAAAGGCCAAACTAATAATGGTCATGGCCATTGGGGAAACACCTTTTCCTAACGCTCGCACTACAACCATACTAGTCACTTTTCAAAGCATTGTTTGGCCAAATTCAGCTATCTTTCCACCATCCAACGTGCATTTGGACCCTTGTGTCGACTATTGGTGCTTCCACTCCCATCAAGTCTTAAGGTTCTATCATTATTTCCTAAGAGAATTATGATTATCTTGTTCAACATTTTCACACATTCATATTTTCCTCCTATATCATTTCCTTTGGTTTTGCAATATTTGCTTCTTTGAATAATCTTGGATTTTAAATTTTGGTGCTTCACATGTGATAGGTAATTAATTTTTGTTCTCCTTCCTTGATGGCATGCCTTCTATATCGCTCACCATTAATGTTGATGGTCTTGCTTCTCCTACTTTTACTAAATTTTCTTTACTTCTTTCCAAAGGCTTATTCCCTAGATATTTTATATTTTGTCAAATTTTTTGTCAATTTGTTATTTATTAATTGCTTTACTAAAACTAAAAAAAAAAGTCTTGTAGCCTTTTTTTTTCCATCTCATTATATTTTTTCAGCTTCTCATTGCAAGAAAGATGATTGGTCGAGGTGTTCAAGCTAATAGAGTTTACTAATTGACATTTGAGATTCCTTCTACACTTCATATCAATGGCATTATCGCTTTCCCACTACAAAAGCTTGTAGAGTTTTTTTCTCATCTCCTCTTTATTGAAGCTTGAGCTATATAAACATCACTGTCTATTTTTTTTTTTAATTTTCCATGTCGAACCCCAGCCGTTTTCTATTATAGTTAATTCATCTTAATATTTTCATATCCTTACCCACCTAGAATTTGGGAACATTTTATATTTTTATTGTTGGGCACTCTCATTTCACATGGGTACATTTACTCAAGTGCAATTCTAAAGTCTTGTGTTCCACACCTTCTATTAGGAAATATATGATTATTTTTCTATGAGGCAAGGACCAAAATTATTCTTGACTCTTTACAAAGGACCAAACTGATCCCTGATTATTTAATATTCTCATTTTAGTCCTTTGAATTTTTAGATTTGGACCTTAATGATCATGCGAAATGACTAATTTGGTCTTTGTTTAAAGAATTAAGTGATCAATTTGATACTTTTATATAGTCGGAAAATATTTTGGTAATTCGGAAAAAATTAACAGACCAATTCAATCCT